CAAATCCGCTGTGACACCGAGCGGGCATAAAGGAGGGGCGTTTTTTAATTATTTTTTTTTTCATAAAAAAAAAATTGAAATGATCTTAATCAAAATAATATTACCTATTAATTTGTATAGCGCAGATACCAACGGAGGTCTTACGCGATAACAGTGAAAATTTTGGCCATTTTACAGATGACAAATAGTAGATAAGAAACATTGGATTTTGCGAATTTTGTTTTCGCTGTTTTAAGGTTAACGGTTCACCCCATTGCAAAATTGCATAGGTTTTTTTTTCTGGAAACTAGAATAAATGTACACAAATGACCAAACATGAATTAGTATTTTGTCTATCCATTGTGATGGATAAGAAAACTTGAGGTATTCCTTATTTACAGTTGTTATATTTTTTCCATATTGTTGAAGGTTACATTAAGTTCTCATTGGAACTGAGCCAAGACATTCTTATAAGGAAAGAAATTAAGCGGCTGAGGTAGACGTTCATGGCCATTCGAACAAGATCTTTTAGAAGCATGGATGTGCTATTTATTTTCATCGTGGACTGTTGGAAATTGTGAGAAGCAGGAAAAAGATAAGGACTCGATGTACCTCGCAAGCATGCGCTCCTGAAGAAGGCCAAACAGATTCCAAAGTAAGTTTTTTTTGTCTTTTTTGTCTTTTTATTTTTTTAAGGAGAAGTTAGCTTTAGAGTCCTTACCTTAGAGTAATTGAATTTTGAGGGTCTGGGGAGTAACCTATTTGTTCCAAACTTGTCGGCAAAAGTCATTTAATTCGAGTACACTTCTTTTTCAGCTCGAAGATCGTGTTTCAATAAAATACAATTTACTCTCAGTGGACAAGTTAGATCACAGAAATCAAATGGTACCATATATAGGATAGTGAGTAAAGAAACATTACAATCGGAGTCCCTCGTGAGGATTCGAACCCCACGCAGTCAGCTCAAATGAGGCGATCCCAGCTGGATGAAGAGTTTCGCGCACTCCACCCAGTGCTTGTTTATTTTCGCGTCCCGAGGAGAGGTGCAGTGCAGATTGCCCATACTTCGGTCTCACCCTCTGGTACCTCGGTGTAAGCTCGTATCAATTTTTTTTTCGTTTTTGTTTTTATTTATTTTATTTCTTTTTGTTGATACGAGCAATGAGCCGTTAAATAGGTCTCAAACCCGGAGGCCAGACCCATTTCGGTTGTCGGCTGTAACCACCAGAGGATTGTGTCTGTGCTCAAGCGGGGATTATATTTAGCCTTTTATCAAGCACCCTTGACATTCAAAGTCCAAGGAATACAAAACACTTTAGCCGAGTTGAAGAGAATCTCCTTCTTAACTGATGAATGAGTAAAAACAGAATTTACAGGACACATTAATGGCAACTGAAGCTTCTAGAGCTTAACTTGAGAGGGGTCACAGTAACTAATTGTCTTTGTTATCTCAATCCTAAGTACTTCCAAGGAAAACTGCGCAGCACAATATCAGCGGGGTAGGAAAAATATCTGGGTCAACGTCTGTAAGGATTCTAAGCTTTACTAGCTTGGCAGAAAAATTAGTATGGGTTAACATTCGTGAGGATTCAAACCTCATTAATCGGTTTTGCTGCTGAATGCTGTTATGGCAGAGCAGAGAAAGGTATTTTGTGTAAACGTACATGAGGATCCAAACTTCAGACTTTCCAAAATCGGTATCTAATGCTCTATTAGTTGAGCTGAGAAAAAAATATTGGTCAACCTTTGCAAGAAATTATGTCTGAAACGTGTGAAATGAAAGTTTCTGGTGGACTTTCATGAGGATTTCAAACCTTAGATCCACCGATTTTGCCGTCAAATACTCTACCTGCCGACGTATACAAAACTCGTGTAGTTATTTTTCTTATCTCACAATAAGTTATTGTCTTCTGTTTGCTTCTTGAGTGTGTGATCAACAGGTTATACAGATGCAGTTATTCTTTGGCTGGAATCAAACGCCTGCGGCAATTCAGCCATTTAGAGTACCGATCATTATGAGCTGCTTTGCTGTTCAGGTAAGGAATGAATCAGAAATATCAAAAGGTCCTGAAGTATGACTGAGCTGTTCCAGTCAGGAAATACGTTATTTTTAAGTAAAAATATCAAATGCAACTGAAATTTTGAATTTAATTGGTGGAACACTGTAAGTATATTTTATTGACAATCATGAAATGTGTATATTTCTGGAAAAGATCAAGAGCAAAGATTAGAGTCAGAACCATTTTAACCCGAACATTTAACGCGAAATTAAAACATTAAAATAGAAAACTCACAACAAAACAAACGAATGAAAACAAAGCAATGAAACACTTGAATGGAATTTATACATTAGAGTCAAATACAGCCTGATCAAATGCAACTGAAATGCAACTGATGGAGAACTGTAAGAATATTTCAGCGACAATCATGAAATACATATATTTTTGGAAAACAGCAAGACAAAAGACTAGAGTCAGAACCATTTTGATCCGATCTTTTAAACGAATAAAATTAATTCTAAGAATTGTCTTTTGTTTGCTTCTCGATTGTGTGATCAACAGGTTATACAGATCCAGTCATTGTTTTGCTGGAATAAAACGCCTGATATATTCAAGTCAGTGATTTAGTGGACCTACTGTTCAGGTCAGTTTTGAATTATAGATATCCATAATTCATTAAGGATGATTAAGCTATCTATGTGATTTTAAAAGTTTGAATGAAATGAAGAAGAAAGGTTGGAGTAAGAACCAACTGGGTGGAGAGCTGTAAAAAAGTTTACAATCAGAACTGCAATAACTGGATGGAGAGCTTAGCGCGCTCCACTCATGCATTGCTTGTTTATTTTCTCGTCCAGGGGTGTAGTGACGATGGCCCATGCTTCGATGTCCCCCTCTGGTACCTCGGTGTAAGCTCGTATCATTTACGTTTTTCTGTTTTCGATGTTTGCTTTCTTTTTTAGGTTCGAGCAGTGAGCCGTTAAACCGAGGTCTTACACGCGGAGGTCCAGATTCATTTTGGTTTTCGGTTGTAACCACCAAAGGACAGTGTCTGCATTTCAGTGGGGGTTGTACTTGCTCGGGTTTTTTCCGAGACATTTGACATTTGAAGGCAAATGAATCTAAAACAAAAAATAGCTGGGTTAGAAAGTTTCTCCTTTTAAATCACAGAGTAAGGATACCTGGCATTCACAGAAGACGCAGTGACGGAGAGTGAAGCTTATGGAGCTCAATCAGGGGCTATAAGGACTAATTGTCTATGTCACAGTCTCATTGAAGGAAATGTATTGAGAAAGGTGCCCCTACCTCTTAGCGACGTGAGGATTCAAACTTCGCTTTAATCACAAGAAGGATATCAAGCTAGATCCCTTAGTATAAAACATTGTCAGGTTGTTGATTGTAGACCTAGCTACTTGAATGATGGCAAAGGTCTTTTTAAAAAACGAATCATTTATATGACTGAATAACTAAATATAACTGTAACATCTTTTGTTTCATTACAGCCGGTCTAAGAATCTCATGAAAATTGAGAAGAGAAATCTAAACTTCCAAGAAGAGGTGGTTCACCATTCAAGAGCGGAATTTGGATGAAGTATAAAACGACGTAGATGGAAACAAACCTTGTCTAATGATGGTAAACTTTTTAGTACAGCTTCAGTTGAAGTTTGTGGAGTCTACATGCTGAGTATTCATCAGAAAGGAGTTTAAAAGTTGTTTTCTCCATGGTTGAAATTTGTGGTGTTTCTCAACAAGGAAGCAGTTTAAAAGTTGCAGTCATACATCATGTGTTTGTCAACAAAGAAGCAGTTTAAAGTTGTGGTGTCCATGCATCATATGTTTGTCACCTGGGAAGAAATTAAAAAGTTGCGGTGCATGTCAGTGCATCATGTGTTTGTCAACAAGGAAGCAGTTTAAAAGTTGCGATGTCTATCCATCACGTGGTTGCCATAAAAGGAGCGGTGTAATCTTTGTAGTGGCTACGCATGATCTGATCATAAGCAAAGAAGCAGTTTTTAAAGCTGCAGTTTCATAATATGCATCATGTGATCGTCGAAAAGTAAAATGATGAGTAACGAAATATATGTTTGCCCCGAAAAATAAAGATAGATCCTAAACTTTTAATAAAAGAATAAAAAGGAACAATCAAAAAAAGATAAAACATAAACGAAAGAAAAATACAATACTCACCTCGACCCATCCCCGAAAAACTTGACATTTGTCCTTTCCTTATCTAAATGGACTCTTAATGACTTAACTTTGGATTTCAATACATCATTAGATATTTAACGGGGCAATGAAGAATATGTTATTGATTTTGTTACCGGCCCGCAAATTAATGCTACAACAGTTTATCCGACTTCTAATTTCAGACATTCGATTTCAGAGTTCGGAGTTTCATTTCCGACTATCGACTTTTAATTTTCCGACTTCCAGCGTTCGGAGTTTTACTTCCAACCATTGACGAATAATTTTTATACTTCCAGCCAGGGACTTCTAATTTGCGACTTTCGACCTCTAATCTGGCTGACTGTGAACTTTCGATATCCGACTTTCCACATTTATCTGTTGCAACACCGTATAATTTCGACTTCAATGCTTGATCTTCCTCTCTGAAGTGCTATTTTCAACCTCCACTATCTTGGAAGGTCCACATTTCCTTCTTGAGACAGGAAAACAAAATCAAAATATGAGGGCATTTTATTCATTTTAAAAAGAGAGGTGCAGCAATAATCGAGATAAGAGGGGAAATTTCCTTCCAAGTTCACAAGTTTTCCAAGATTTAACTCTTTAAACCCTAAGTGTTACCAGCATCCAATTTCTCCTCGTAACATCACCCATGAATTGATAAAACGTCAACGAATTGTATGCTAATCTACCCGGTGTAATGGTTCTGTCCTTCCTGCGGACTTCATTGCTATGATCTGTCGGGGTTAGAAAGGTCGGTAGAACATTTTTCTAGAATTTAAAAGTTAATACGTGTTATGTGCACCATTCCTTCACTTACAACGCACAGGCTGTCAACATATAGCCGGACACGAACTTTTCACTGGAGCGATTGTTTTGGAAGGGTTAGTTTTGCTTACTGTGGTTAAGATTTCGAAAAGCATTTGCATTACGCACGTTTGATAGATAATTTTGCTTTTATCGACTTGTTGTTGCTCTTTTGGGGAAGACTGAAAAGATCAGCATGCTTTATTTACTCTCTGCTTCGACTGCCGTGTCTATATCTGTTTTTTTTTCGCTTTAAGAATTTTTCCTTGATCTGGTGTCGAAACGGTTTTTCCTGCCCCAAATACGTGGTTACCTGTCACTTATATTATGACTAAGCTTAGCCTCACTAAAAGACATTTTCCACTAAACAACCTAAACTATCTATTCAAGATGCAATTTTCTCAATGGTTACCATGACACTACATTCAAAATAACTTTATAATTATGCATATGGCCTCTCACCCGCGCGTAGAAAAAATACAAAACATAACTGTTCCTTGTATAAGAATCAGATGTTTGTGGTCAGCGTTGATAGAACTTTGAAAATAAATTGTTACCTTTGAAAAGAGGAAATTTTACCGGCTGAATTAGCGAATTGTATGCAACAGAAATGTAGGAAATGATTATTATAATAATTGTTTCACAATGGCCTCTCGCCGACCTGTGATTAAAAACAGAAACTTTCCTTGCAGAAAAATCTAACGGGTATGATCAGCTTACCATGGAAAAAATTAGAGGAATTTAACCTCAGTTTTTAATGAAAAAATTTCCCAAATCAAATTCCTTCACATGGAAAAAGAACCCTTGAAATTTGCATTTTTCCCAACGTGTGGCTTCGTAGTTCACTTGGTTGTAGCCGACCAACTATAACTAGTTTATCAAAAGTTCCGGTTCGAATCGCGTCGAAGCCCGAATTTTCAGGCCTCTCCTCTACAATTGCTAAAATTCCGGCTTACCTGCAGAATCAGAGCTTAACTTGACGATAGCTCGAGCGAGAGTGCGTTCTTCTAGCAGATGATCATATTCTTGAGCTATTTCTGTCTTAACTTTAGTAAAAAGAATAACTTACATAACAGATGCTAATGATAAAACTGTCAGTTGTTTAGCAATTTGTTTACGAAATTTATCCTATAATACAGGTGTAGAGTATAGTCAAATGATCTCACTTCGAGAGCAAACATGGAATCAAAACTTGAACAAACTGCCTTCGTTACCTTTAATATAGAGGATCATGATGTTACTACTTTAAGTATTAGCTTTAGAAATCTGGATTGCTGGTCTAAGCCAGGCCAGGCGCGTGAGCAGCATGAAATGTCCTGTTACGATAATGCTTTTAAAGAGAGCTTTGACTGTGATTTGATTACGAACGCAATCATCAGTTTTTGCAAGTAACGTGTTTGCTATTAAAACGTGGGGGAGGCCGGACGGTTGTATACTGTAGAAATGGAAAAACTATAAACATCGACAGTAAAAGAGTCACATTGGTCGTTCCATTTATACTTCCATGAACACTTTATCAAGAATCATTTAACATTCCCGTACAATTTAACACGAACACTATATTAATAACGATCCAATCCTTTTTTCTTTATTTAACGCTGTTTGAAAGATATATCCTCATCGGCGCTTTACAAATATTACAAATTTCTTATTTCACGAATCAGAAGGCGTTCATGGACATTGATCAAAGCTACGTAGTTTAAAGATAACAAATTACTTAAAAGTTATAATAAGCAAAAAAAAATTAACCCAGGATTAAACATTTTACAAATCTGTAAGATCGGTTTTCTTGTACACACTCAACCTATAGGACTGCTTCAAATTTAATACAAAACCACATTACTTGGTTTTGATTGTACAGCGCAACTGTCCCTGTCACCGTTCCCTGGTTTGAAACAGAAATTAGACACACACAAAAAAAACATTAATACTTGGAAAAGCCTTAGCACTTAATGTTTCTTGTTGATTCAGTTAAAGCAAAAAGAAAAAATTTCAATTACACTGGCTCATGTAAGAAACAATTGTATATCCAATTTCCTCAACCTTGAACAGAGCCCCGTGATCAGAGTAACACGAGGACCAATTCAAGGACGTGGTCTTCTGTTAAGATCTCGTAAGGATTTAAGAGGGTTGATGTTGTATTGGAAACTGATGAGAGAGTATAGGAGACAAAAATGAAAGAAAGATCAAGGAGGAAAAAGAAAGAAACAATACTGAAAGGGTTCATCGATGACTGAAAGAATGAATGAATGAGCACAGAGAGATGGAGAGAGACAGAGAGAGGGAGGGACGGGGGAAAATACATGGACTGCAAAGGAATAGAAAAAATGAGGAACAAACCAGTGAAGGAAGAAAATTGAAAATGAAAATCCTCGCTGCTGTTACTTGTCTGTTTAATTTCAGCTACACGAGAAGGAAAAAGTATGAACCTCTGATCAGAGATGCCAATGACCTATAGATGACCCTGCGTTCGGATGCAATTAAAATTGTGAGCTGGTGAACTGACTGATAGTGATTGTATTTTGAAATACCTTTAGGCCAGGTGAAAAATTCCCCACGTGTATTCCATTGACTGACTTGGTTAAGGTTTCTGGGAAAACATATAAAGCTCCTCAATTTTTAGTTGACTTCAAAACCCCTCCTTGCTCACCTAACGTTGCCGTCTTAAGTAAGTCATTATATTACTCATAGGATTGCATAAGAAACCGAGATTAGATTAGTGGGTGTGAATCAAACTTTGGCCCGCGCGGAGACTTGACGAAGATGGAGGGTCAGGTTATAAAGCTGCCAAATACACTCAACACCTTTGGAAGGCTTTTAGTGGTAGAGGGGGAACACAGCGTTCAAGCGTCTGCGCCTACGTTAAGTGTGTGCGAGCGTTGTTATGACTAGGTGGCGTCTTTTCAGGCTGTCAGAGCCAAGCTGTCTCACAGAAGTTATAAACAAGCACACAAGCCATTAAGTTATGGTGTTTTAGACGCGTGCAAGGTTTTGGTAAAACTCAAAACAGTGTGTTAAATCGACACTGAGGATGCCCGTACTTGAGTAAGCTTGGTGTTCGAAGTCTCGAGTTTTTTATTTTATTTTTTTCCTTTTCCCTTCCTTTGCTTCCTTTTACAGATTCCTGTGAACATTTCAATTTCCTTCTACTTATTTTGTGAGACAGTGGTTTTCTTTTCTTATGTTTTCCTTAGAATTTTTGCGCGGGAAATTCGGTGCTCAGCCGGCCAGATTTGATCCCTCGAGCATGCCCTAGTTTTGACCACTGTGTTCACTAGGGGTGTATCTTGTATATTTGTACGAGTTTTTAACTGGTGATTCTGTTTGAACATCATTGCAAAACGTCATTTCACATCGTAAACAGCCTAAAGATGAAACGAATCTAGAACTGAAATATCTAAGGTTGCAGAATTCCAATTATTTATCTTCAGCAAAAAGGAGTTAACCTTGGCAACTTTTAGAAGAAAAAAACCATTCTAAGGAATTTCGATTTTACACACAAACCTCCTGCCGCCAGGTTGCAAAGTAGTTTGGTGCGCTTGCATCCTAAATTCATCACACGATCAATAAACACTTGGTGGTCTTTCTTCGAGGTAATGCGAGCACGGAGTGTTGAATAAAAAACGTCTACAACTTTAGAAAATACAGCGTAATCAGAAATAAAGTTGCATGTATTGCACTTAAAATTTTTAAGATGATTAAAAAATGAATCACATTTAACTGACATCATTGGTTTAAATTCGCATGCAGGAGATGCCTGCAGGAGGGAATCAATGTTGACATTAAAAATCGACAGGATGCATACGTAAGCTTAGAATATTTCAGGTAATTCGGTAATTTACGGAAACCTGAAGGTTTTTCCTAACAGATACTCGTGAATGAACACTGCGGAAATACTGGAGGACTTCTTCAGGCTCGAGGTATGTGGGAAATACCTTACTGAAGTACAGCTACATGATTAGGAAATTGTACAGATACCACTTTTTGAAACAGCTGGGCTGAGAATAAAGTTCAAAACTTACAAGGAGTGAGCTTGAAACTTAGATTGAGAACATCACCAGGTTTTATCACTGGCCATGGGGTAATTTTAAACGCGAACGTTTTATCTGGCGGACCTGTAACGGAATGGAATAGCCAAAGAGTTAGAAATAAACTTTTTGTGATTTCAAAGCTCGACATGTCAGCTTTACCATCCGGCTCTGTGGTGTCCAATTCACATTATCAACTCATTTGATAAAACCAAGTTTTCTTGTGCTGCCCCACCAATTTTTAAATGGCCAAAACACCTTCCGAAATATAACATTCAGTTTCACTATTCTGTGCGCGAAACGATATAACAAAGGTCACATTTGCGCTTTTCTTTGGGCACAAACGAGTAAAATAATTTTGATCTTACCACAGTAACTCACATAGTTGACTTTTAAGCAAGTAGATAGCACAACACAGCAGAAGCAGACGATTATAACAGCCTGGTATTGAATTTTGGAAGCCATCGGTCGAAAAGATATCCACAGATCATAGACCTGAAATATACAATAATAAGTGAAATATAAACCAGTTGCAGACTGCCTCTAGGATTGAAGGGGTAGGTTTCTGCCGTTTTTCCTTTAGGTGTACTGTTACCGTGGTCACGGCCTTTCATACACAGCCGGCTAAGTGAAGAAAATTATATTTCTTGGTATGAAAATGATTCTCTTGTGCAGAAGGGGAACCCTCGACTACTCCTCTGTCAGCCGTGACAAATAAACGATAGCGTCACTGGAAAGAGCTGATGCGAAACTAACACGTTGCTCTATAACTTTTGGAATATAATGGCCCCTTAGGTCAGTTGATTGTCTTTTTTTTAAGCGTATATTTATTTGCCTCGAGCGATTGATTACTTATTCGCCTTGTGGGAGCTATGTGTTCTGAGCTTGGGTTTGTTCGTATTCGGTCACAAAGCGCCATGGATGCTCTGAAGCAAAGGCTAAAGAGCAAGGTTTTTATGTGCAGTCTTAAAGAATAGGTCGAAAATACGAAGAACCATTTTGTGACAGGCATCACTGCCCTTTTCAACTGCTTTTTGAATGCTTTTTGAGTAGAATATTTCAAATACACATGAAATTTTCAAGTAAATTATGAATGAAAATCGTACGAGGTCATTGCCTAGATTTTAACATGACCAGCGCCTGTGAGCACCGGGGCACAGATTTAATACGCAGTAATGAACTCTAAGTTCCCATTCCTAAGCGTGTTGTTCTCCTATTAAAGCATTCGACTAAATTCCAAGAATTTTCTCTTTTGCTAACTCGTTAGAACATGAGGGAACACAGAACCAAACGTCAGTTTGGTACGCGTTTGAAAGAGCACCAAAAAGCGGTTTTCTTTTGCAAAAAAGAAAATTCAGCTTTATCGGAGCACACATGCCTAACTAACCATACAAATGGGTGGGATAAGTCTAAAATTGTCACCACTAATCAGCGTTACCACCAGCGCCGTTTGTTTGGAAGCTTGGCATATTAACTCCGCATACGCTCCCTTAAATCGTGATGATGGCGGCTTACTTGCTGACGCCTATTTACAGCTCGTTAGAAAAAAAAGGTAGCTAATTAGTGATCGTATAAAAGGACCTCTTGTTGCAGCGTTTAGATCACC